ATAGAGGGAAAAAGAATGAAAGAGAGAGAGAGAGAGAGAGAGAGAGAGAGAGAGAGAGAGAGAGAGAGAGAGAGAGAGAGAGAGAGAGAGGAGAGAGAGACAGAGAGAGAGGAGAGAGAGACAGAGAGAGAGGAGAGAGAGACAGAGAGAGAGGAGAGAGAGACAGAGAGAGAGGAGAGAGAGACAGAGAGAGAGGAGAGAGAGAGACAGAGAGAGAGGAGAGAGGAGGAGAGGAGAGAGGAGAGAGGAGGAGAGGAGAGAGGGGGAGAGGACAGGAGAGCTGAGGAGAGGAGAGGAGAGATGGGAGAGGAGAGGAGAGAGAGGGGAGGAGAGGGGAGGAGAGGGGAGGAGAGGGGAGAGGGGGAGGAAGAAAGAGAAAAGGGAGGGAGAGGGAGGGAGAGGGAGAGAGAGGGAGAGAGAGGGAGAGAGGGGAGAGGGAGAGGGAGAGAGAGGAGAGGGAGAGAGAGGAGAGGGGGGAGAGAGAGAGGAAGAAAGAGAAGAGGAGAGGAGAGGAGAGGAGAGGGAGGAGAGGAGAGGGAGAGAGAGGAGAGGAGAGGAGAGGAGAGGAGAGGAGAGGGAGAGGGAGAGGGAGAGGGAGAGAGAGGAGAGGAGAGAGAGAGAGAGATAATAGATCAGAAGGAAAATGAAATGGAGAAAGAGAAGGAAGGAGGGATGGAAAGATGGGGGGGGGGGGGGGGGCACTCACAGTCTCCTTGGTTAAGTCCCTGATGGCATCCATGGTCGTCTCCTGGTTGAGGATGCGAGCAGACCCCGTGAAAAAATTGCACTCGAGCTTCATGTTTGCACGGTTTGGCAGTTGTCTTGTCGAAGTTCTGTTATTTAGCACTTGTTGTTGTTGGGCGATGTTTGGATTGGATTCGAGAAGGGGGATGGGAGCAATTTAGAAAAGAGTTCTCTTGTGGTTCTTGTAACCTCCACGGTAATGTGTATCAGCCTGCGGAAGGAGACGACGCGTGAAGGAGGGCTTCTAAAATTCGCACGAGGATTTCAACCAAGTCTCTACAGGCCTACAGAAGGAAGGAGTATCGAGGCAAGGACGGAAGGCATGCAGCAGAGGGATTAATCTTGGCATTAGGAATTCTATGTGACCTTTGCCAGCTTGCTGAAGACATACTGTGCAATGGAGGGGACATGTACATATGGGGATTCACTTTGGCACAAGGAAGTCTGTATGCACTTCACCAGCCTCTGGCACTGAGAAGAAAAGTGGGAAGGAGGGGATGCCTGCAGAGGGGATTCAATTTTACAAGAGGAATTCAATTTTTACTCTAGACGAACTTTGCAATGGAAGGAACATGTCAAGATCTGGGGACTCATTATTACAATGCCAGTTTACCTATGTAGAGTCTTTACCAATTTGAGGAAGGGATGAGAACTTGTGTATATGAGTTAATGCTTGAATCAGGAAATAAAACTATTGCATAATGAATTCCATACCATACTAAAAGGCCAATGTTAAATTGCATTTCATTCCATTAATCAATTCAGATGCTATACCCTAGGAACAAAACTACAAAACCTTCCAAATCTCGCAAACAGCGAATAGCCTTTACCCTCCCGAACACGACCCCAAACCCCAACAAACCAAAACCTCGACAAACTCGCACCTACTTCGACCCCCAAGAGATGAACTGCTCTGACCCAACCTACCTTTGTTACGGCCTGTGTAACCTCAGAATGGAGGTTGGGGGCAAACCTCAGTACCACGGTGGTAGACCGTTAAGTGTGAATCTCCAGTTGCCCCCGTACAGGGTAAAGGTGCACTGGTCCAGACGGCTGCCCGAGTATCGTCCCTGCAAGAAAATAAGAGAAAAATTATTAGCTGACGGTGTGAGAGAAAAGAGGTCTAGTAATAGTAAAAACCACTATATTTAAAAATGGTAAAAAGAGGAAATGTAGTAAAAAATAAATGCAGAAATAAAAGCATGATGAAGATAATACCAAAGATGATAACAATAATAGCAACAATAATAACAATGCAATCTAAGACTTCTATTAGTAGTCAACAATAAAGATACTACAAGAACAAAAATAACAAATGTAATAACAGTAATAATGATAATAGCAAATATCAAAATATCAACAGCAGCTAAAATCAACAACAAAAGTAATTTTCACAACACAGATAACTTTCTGGAAAAAAAAAAAAAAAAAAAAAAAAAAAAAAAAAAAAAAAAATATATATATATATATATATATATATATATATATATATATATATATATATATATATATATATATATATATATATATATATATATATAATGATCGTCACCATCCTAATAATCATGAAAATAAAAATATCATCATCATTCTATTAGTATCACCACCACCATAAAAGTCATTAACATTAACCCTGGCAAGAATTCTGCTAATGAAATCAATTAAAATAATAATATTACTGACCTACACAATATTAGACTAATATGAATGATGAAAACACTCTACCATGTTGATACTATGGTAGAAAAACCCACAA